GTTTTTTAAAGTTTATAAAGTTTACTGTTAATCTATTATATGTTTATCAATTTCTTTTAGGTATTTCATTTTTTATGGTCTTAACATCTTATTTTTATGATTAGTTAAATTGTTACTCGTAGTCCAGTTTTTTGAACTGTAATCTAGAGTAAATTATCAACAGATTGTAAATATATTGTCATGAAGATAACTGGCATGAAGCTTATGTAACTTAATGATAGAAAAAAAATCCCTTTCTGAAACACATAAATAAAACTGCTATGGACAAAGGAAAATTTATGACTTTAATAAGATTACTGAGATAAAGTATTTAGTCTATTATTTAGGTTTTTCTTTCTATGGTTTTAATTGATTTTCTTCTCATTTTACAACTATTCAAATTTTTTTCATAGTAGGTTGTCTACCCAGATTTTTTTTTTAATTTTTAATTTTTTATTGCAGTGATGTTGGGTTACAATACTGCGTATGATTTACAGGTATAAGCTTATACCTCCTCAAATACATATTACTACACCACATCGATCTCAAAGCATTGATAAACTTTATCTCCACTATAGCTCTTAAGGCCCCTATTTTTTTTTAAACAAAAGGAAAAATATGTTTGGATTTATATACTACTAAATTATCTGTCATACCAATATTGACAACATCCACGGTAACTTTGAGGTTTGATGCACTAATGCAATCATTAGCAGTTTTCATTAAAATTTCTATGCTCACAAACACAGATTCATTCACTTGAAACTATACTTAATACTATAATGGAAAGATAACCTAGATTCTAAAATTTTTCCTCTTATAAGAAAGATGGAACTAACCTGAGAAACATTGAATAGGTATAGTTAGATTCTGCATAGTGGAGCCAAAACAGTGGAAAGCTTACTTCATATTTGCCCTACAATCTATTATATAATCAGTGGTTTATGATCTATACAACCTTAACTACCTTTAGGTGTACTCTATTGCATACTACCTTTAACATACATTGAATTGTTTTATACACAGAGAAAGTTTATTGCCAAATTCATGTTTTCACTGTTATGCAACTAAGTGGTTTAAAATTGTTATTTCATAATGTCTGTTAATGTACTTACCGTGGCAGACATATAATAAGGTGACTTGCAATATGTTTTGTTCTTCTGTAATATTTTCCAGTAGAGTGTGTGGATCACGTAATTTGCTTCTAACAAATAGAATATGATAGCAATAGAGGCATGCCAGATTCTTGATTTGGTTACTCATATGGGAAAGGACCTTAATTATGTTCTGTTATATAAAGCTTTTTGTCTTAGTCAACTGGAAAAGACATATACTCTTCTACTAATCTTGAAGAAGTAAATGAAATTGGAAACAGATTCTTCCTCAAACACGTCCCCAGATAAAATATGTCCTAGCTGACTTCTTTTTATTTTTTTTTAATAATAAATTTTATTTTTATATTCCCCCATACAATTGCAAATGCCCCATTCTGACCCCAATCCCTCCCCTCCCGGCCCCCACCCCCCAAAAAGTGTCTCTGGTTCATAGTTTTTTGTTGATTTTGATTTTCACTTTCTTATAGTTATTCATTTTCCTGGTCCCTTATTTAAGTTTTCTAGATTCCTGCTATGAGTGAGACCATCCGGTATTTTTCTTTTTCTTTTTGGCTTATTTTGCTGAGCATGATCCCTTCCAGCGCCATCCATGTTGCTGCAAATTGCATGTGTTTATCTTTTTTGAATGCTGAGTAATATTCCATGGTGTATATATACCACATCTTCTTGATCCAGTCATCTATTTTTGGGCATTTGGGCTGTTTCCAAAGCTTAGCTATTGTAAATAGAGCTGCTATAAACATAGGGGTGCAGGTGTTCTTTGGAATTGATGTTTCTGTGTCCTTTGGGTAAATACCTAGGAGTGGAATTGCTGGATCATATGGAAGCTCTATGTTTAGTAGGTCCAGAAATCTCCACACAGCTCTCCATAGTGGTTGGACCAGTTTGCACTCCCACCAACAGTGCAGGAGAGTTCCTTTTTCTCCACAACCTCGCCAACATTTGTTGTTGCTAGTTTTTTTAATATGTGCCATTCTCACTGGTGTAAGATGGTATCTCATGGTAGTTTTGATTTGCATTTCCCTGATTACAAGTGATGTTGAACATTTTTTCATATGCCCGTTGGCCATTTGCATTTCCTCTTCAGAGAAGTTTCTTTTTAGCTCTTCTGCCCATTTTTTGACTGGGTTATTTTCTTTGTTGTTGCTGATGAGACTAGCTGACTTCTTGATTGCAGCTTTGCAAGACCCTGAGTTAACTCAATTATAGTCTGCCCAGATTCCTAACCCATGAAGCTGTGAGAGTTTCTCGTACATATAAATACTTTGTGTTAGTGATTATTATTGATAGTGATACTAAATAATTGTACTATTATATTAGACATTAATTATTGAATATTAAACAATAGGTTATTATTGATTGATAATAATAATTATTGTAAACCTTCAAATTATAATGATTTGATCAGTTTCTCAATAGTCACGTAACAGCACTTAGGGTTTCTCATGAAGTTCATTCACCTTTGCAATCTTATCTGTGAATCTGTTGCTTTCCTTTTTCTGATGACGATACTAATAGGTTAAAATTGTAAACATTGGGGCCTTCCTGGTGGTCTAGGAGTTAAGTCTCAGCACTATCACTGCCACTGACTGAGTTCTATCCCTGGCCAGGGAGCTAACCCCCACATGGTGCGCAGACTTTTACTGTCTTGCCTGCTGCTCCCCTTTGCAGTGTATTTCAGTAAATACAGCCATTCTGCTCTCCACTCTGTCTCTTGTGAATCCTCTCACCTCCCCAGTCTCTGGCCTACACTCCAGTTCTTCTACACAAAACTAAATAAAAATTTAAAAATAATTATAAACATTATTTTTAGCCATGTTTTCTTCCTTAGGTTCACACTTGATATTTAATGTGGAGAAAATTGAAGGGATCAATGTAGATGGAAGGGAAACATCCCATAAATCATCACACAAAATTAGTAAAGGAGTAAAGTCTTTAATGTATGAAATTAGATGAAATGTTCCTCTAACACAATCTCTTTCATGCATCTTAGTATGTTCTTAAGTTGACCTCACATATAGTGAGAATATAGCTTCTCTTAATGGTTGCTTTTTTCCTAGTATTTCTGGATGGATAGTCCTAGTAATATCCATCCAGCTTGGATGGTCAGCATCCCTTATTTAATTGGATTGGTCTGTGTTTGCTCTTATTGTCCTGGTGTGATTGTTAACAGTGTCCCTTTTCACTCTTAAAAGTATCTGAGTTTGGACAATATTTATTTGATTTCTGTAGTTAAGGCAAAACTCCAGGTCATTAACTTCCCTCTCAATCAAAGTCTATTAAGAAGAACTCACGGGGTTTTATTATATTTTTTCTGGCCAGTTGATTTTTTAAATATTTATCCACAATAATTTTTCTCCCTAGAATTTTTGAGCATATCACATTTTTCTCTCACTATAATGCTATCTGACTACTTGAAGAGAGTTCTTCCTTACTGTACACTAGAAAATAGCATAGGCATAGCAACCCTATTTGATACATATGTACTTATTTTCATATAATTTAAAAATATTGGCAATATTTGGCCCTGGCTTGGATAGTTTTGCAAGTATTTTCATCTGGAAACTATTGACTTGAATTGTTGCTGTCATTTTAAAATTTGACATTTGTACCATAGAGGCATCTAGGAATTTTAAAGGTTCAAATTCTATGTAATTGGTCTGCATGCTAACTAATAGGCTTGAAGAATTAATCTTTAATTATAATCCTGAATCACATTTAATAGGAATTAATATACTCTAGCCTGTTTCTTTTATTTTTGTTATATAATCATAAAAATATTAGAAATTGGTCTTTTCCTCAAGAAATTGCAGAACTCACTAAAATAGAAGAAATAGTAGTGAATGAAATAGGTCAGCAATTTTGTTGATAAAGGGTGTAGAGCTTATGTTGTTTTCATAGTTAAAAATAACTGGGGAATGCTAAAACAGAAGATTCTATTATAAAAGAAGATTGATGATATGCCACTGGAAGTCATAGAATTCTGACAATGCTGAAAAATTAAAAAAGAAATTAAAGCTACTACTGAGAAAAAAGAATGAGAAATACATTTGATTTTCTAGTCAATGAATCTGCTAAACAGTTGTAGAATTATTTTCAAGGGAAAGATTAGTAGTTCGAAGTGACTTCAGCATTTTAGCCTTGTGATGATCATTCTTTCATGAGATACATTCAAAAATAGTAACTCTTAAAAGAGTATCAAAACCAGTCATGGAGTATGTAGTTTCAAACACAGCTGTCCCAGCTCTCAGGCCTAGTTTTCACAGTTTTATGGGATATCTAGATTCTACTACCTAAGCAGTGATTAGTATACAGTTAAGATTTACGCACCAGTGGAAACTAGTGTAAAATATAGTGGAAAAATCAAACTCTTATCATGTCCAAATGAAGAAAATGTGTTGATGATTACACTAGGTTAGCAGTAGTTACAGGTATAGCTAAACAAATATGATATTCTCTACCTAGTTACTCAGTTCAACTAAACAAGATTCAAAATGACAGAAAGAGGCAAAGTCTATATTTGAACCTAAAATATACAGCCCAGGAGAACATCCTGTCAAATAGAAGACGACAGATAATTTCTCTTCCACCAAGTGCATGAAGTAATGAGTTTAAATCTGACTGAAATAGGACCATGTCCCAAAATAGTTATAAAATCTGTAACAAGAAACAGGGGCAGCAATAATGTATGATACCTGCTATGTAAGGGAGAATAGGATCTACAATGTTATACTAATGAATGATTACTTTTCCATATTTTTAAAATACTAATTTTATAAGAATATATCCTATAGATTTAAGGTTTGCTTAGTCAGAGAATAATTTTACAATACCAAATAATAATCAAAAGTATGTGTTTGCATGTCTTAGATATATCCTTTGTTATTTCTTCCTATTTGAAACTGTTAAAATCTCTTATATGTCTACAAGATGGGGCAATCTCAATTTGTGCAGGAGGCATGCTAATCTTCTCTGTATTATTTCAAATTTATGTGCTGCCAAAACAAACACTGAACTTTCAATTTGGAAGGATCTTTCCATCACTATCTGTAAGGGAAGTCTTTTAAATATAATATTCCCCTATATTTATTAGAATATTTTTAAAATTTTTATTGTTTATATAAAAATTCATATGTACTTAAAGTGTGTAGCTTGATGTTTTAATACACATATATGTAGTAAAATGGTTATTATACCCAAGCTAATTAGCCACTTTTTCATTTTTTTCTTTTTTTGTGAGAGCCTTCTCTTAGCGAATTCCCACTATACAGAACATTATTATTATTATTATTATTATTATTATTATTATTAACTGTAGTTACCATGTTGTTTGTTGGGTTGCTAGAATTTATTAATAGTATCTCAGTGATAATTAACAACATCAGATACTTATTGTTAGGAAACCTCTTAAAAGGGTCATAGCATAAATCTCTTTAAGGATACAATTATATTTTTGATAAGTAATGAACTCACTTTAATGGATGAACTATGACACAGTGGATAAAGTGTCCTTTCTGATTATTTCCAGATAATTTTTGTTTTTTTAACCCAATTTTGTCCTATTAGACACCTAGTGAGTCCAAATCTAGAAAGGACAAAGGAATGTCTCCTTCTTGCTTCCGTGGATCGTATTCTCCCTTAATCATGCTCATTATGTCTCCTCCATGTTCTTTTCTATGTCTCATGTTGACTCTTGTCCATTTATCTTGGAATGACCCTCTCTTTATATTAAATTTGACAGATTATTTATGGAGTTCCCAGTATCTCCAACAATAATTACTCAATATTTAGAAAACTGGTTGTAGATTTTTTTATCAGTTGAGTTTATTTAGCAATAGTTTATTATTTCTGTTGCTTTTCAGAAGTACACCCATGAAAATGCTAGAAGTTAGAAGATGCAGGCTGTCAACCAACATGTGCATTTTAATTAGGTGCGCTGCAGCTGTTTGGGATTGTATTCATATCTAGGCTTCACATTTGTATAAGGGCTAAGTATTTTGTCATTTGTTGCAGAGAAGACAATTTCTGACCTGAGTGGTATTTAAAGGATCTTCATGCATTATGAAAAATAAAACAGTGAAAATAAAATCCAGTCCACTCTATGTTTTTTTCCTGTATCAATTATAAATATCTCTCTATGTACCAACACGAAGCTGTAACATCTGTCTGTCATCTCTAATTGCATAAAGTAGGGTCACTCTGTGTGTAATATATTGATCTTAACCTCTGGAAGCAAAATTGGTTATTAAGCATCAGAAGAACAGAATAAACCAACTGCCATTTTTTTAAATCTATACTTAATAATTGTGATAACCGTTAATTTGGTACCTGATATAAGACAAAACTTACTCACGTATTTTGTGTATTTCTAATAATATTGTTTCAGGATTTCTATTTTTCTTGTCCTGTGTATGAGGGAACTGAGCATGAGAGTGATTAAGTGAATTTAATTCCATAATTAATACAATAACTAGTTATTGATTACTTAGAGTGTATCAGGCGTGTTGCTAGGTGTTAGGTATATGGCAGTGAACTGGATAGGTATGTCCTTTGCCTTGTGTGGTTCTTCAAAAGGGGCATAGTATTTGGCAACATCAGACCAAGGATGCACTCCAGTTCTGCTATTTTCTAATTGAGTGCAATTTCTAGTTGTGTACCACTTTCTGATTGTGTGCAGCTTACTATGTGGCCAAATTTATTAAATTTGATAGCCATTGCTTTTATCCATCTGCAATATGAAAATTATAGTAATATTTGCTTTATAGAGTTTTGTGAGACTTCACTGAGTTGATAAGTAGTAATATTTTTAGTAAAGTAATGGATGCAATTTAGTGCTTAATAAAAATTATATTAATGCATGCTATAAAACTCATATAGTGTTTAAGACTGGAATCCATCTCATTGCTCAGTACCACCTAGATTTTATACTTGATTCCACTTATCTTTAAAACAAGTGAGGCTTTACTATGTCTACCTATATTTCATCCAATGGGAAGAATACAAGCAGTGCATAGTCTATAATTATTAGGACATATTTTGAGAGTCAAAGAACACTTCCACTCAAACCCCATTATTTAGACCTCAGTCATGTGGCCATTGCTTAACTAAGGAGAGGCTGGGAAATAGTCTTGATTCCACCAAAAATGGTAATGTATCTAAAACTTGACTCTGCTTTCAAGCTACCACCTAGGCTATCACAGCATAGATACTATTGGTGGACAAGAGACTCTGGGAAAAAGGCAAAGGACTTTATTACTCAGAGCAAACAGGCAATATGAGCTTTATGTGTGCATCATTCTCTTGCTTTCCACTTCCCATGGAGGTGCAAACATTTATGTCCACATGGAAGCAGTGCACACAGTGGCCTGTGTCACAGATGGTGAACCCTGTGTTTAGGAAACAACAACCTTATAAGGGGACACCTAAAAAAATATCTGCCCAAACTTTGTCCCAGAGGAAGACATTTTTGTCATCTCGTTGGGAAGCAAATCTGCCCATTGCCTTGGAGGGAAAGCCTATCTCTATTTCCCCAGGCTTTTTCCTATACAAACATTTTAAAAATGATAACATGAAAAAAATGCACAGAAACGTGAGGGATTATGGAGAATAATCTCATTACATATTCTGGGGAATTGTGTGGTCAAGTAAAAATCAGGAATGTGGCATTAATGCTAAGGAAGTATTGGGAAGCAGTTATTGTGGAAAATTAATGCAAATGTCATATCCCATAAGAATTTACAGTGAGGCTTATTTGTTTATTTCTGTATTCTTCCTTTTTAAAACTTGCATTATTTTTATGGTGCTAATGTTCCTTTACAACCCAACATATGATTTAAGGATATAGGTGTATTTACAGTGAGGTTTAAATTATGTCCTGCCACACTATTTCAGAAAATCTTGTCATTGCATATATTCCTACTTTTGCATCAATCTTTACTCCATTTTCTTAATTTGAAATTTCGACCTAAGGATCATGTGTTGAACACTTGCCAAGTTCCCAGCATTGTGTTAGGTCTGAGAAAATCACAGTAAGTGAAATGTAGGTTCATCTTTCAGTGACAGTAGAACTCAGTCAACACAATAGGCTCAATGACACAATTATAATTTATCTTAATTGTGGTTTCTGCTTCTGGCCTATTCATGTCACTGTTTGACATCTCTGTCATTTGGCTGTTGGCCATTTTTATAGTAAATTATACAAATTTATTTCTAATTTTGTCTTCAAACTTCATTGAACATGCCACTGCTTGCTGAAATCCTTTCCTATCTCTGCCTGATTCTGACCAAGTTTGGACAAACCTAATCTTATTACTTGCATAGCTGAATCAGTTGCCTGAAATGGAGCTTTGTGAGCTCCATTTGTGTGGTATTTAAATATTGAAGTCTTTCATATGTATTCATGGTACTTCTGTATCTCCTATTTAATATATATTTATTGACAAAAAAGTCCTTTCCCCATCTATATCAGATGCTTTGCATTCTGATTTCATGTTCCTACGTCTCATTGTATTGATTTTATTCTTTCTGCTGGTGTAAATTACTGCTTGCTTCTGTACAACTGCTACTTCTGCCTGCTAGTGCAATTACACAGTTCCTTTCCTGATAACATCAACTCACAGCTTTTTGACAATTTGAGGGAATGACAATGAGGAGTAGTAATATAGTTTCTGACTTGACTCCACTCACTTCTCTTTTCAAATTTTGTACATAAAAAAATGAGCAATATATGATTTTCTATGAATAGTATGCACAAATAAGAAATCAGATTTAATAACATTATAGAGAAGAAAATATGACAGGTTTTGACAGACCTGGAACATGAAAATATCTGTGTGTATAAACTATATGCTCTGTGCTCTGTGGAGAGATTGCCATTAAGAGTGAGTTTACCAAACCTAGTGTGTCTTGTTCTCTGGGAGGGAAGTAGACCCTCACCCTCCGTTCTCTTTACCATTAACTTCAAACATCCCTCTGCATGAGCCCTAGAGTGAGTTGGGAGCTGTATACTTTGTAAGAGTATACATTCCCTCCTAAGAGGAAATGGGATGGGAAAAGAAATTGTAATTTTCATCTAAACTAAAAAACTTTTTTGTTTATTTATCCTAGTTTTCAAAGTGGTTTTATGTAACTTACATATATAAGTAAAATAAAATAGGCATTTTTTTAAAAAAGATTTATTTATCTATACAAGAACCAGGGCACAGGCCAGATGCGCGGGAGGGTGAGAGGATTCACCAGAGACAGAGCAGGGAACAGAACAGGCAGACTGACGAATGTGCTGCTGAGGGGAGCAACAGGCGAGACAGGAGAGGTCTGCCGCACCATGTGGAATTCTCGCTGGTCGGCCGGAATGCTGACAGTTTCACAGTGCAGAGCTCAACTGCCTGCACCAACAGGGAGGTCCCAAATAGGCATGTTTATCATTAAACATTAAATTAAAAATTATGGAGTTGTATTAGGATTTTCATGTTACTTATTGAAAAAAGAGCTATTTGTTAAAGCAAGACTTATTGTCAAGAAGTTTATTACTAAGAAATAAAGGAATGGGAACAATCTGTGGCCTTCCAGATGGAAGAGCTTTCAGTTATTTAAGCAATGGGAGTCAGAGATTGCTCAGAAGTTTTTGTTAATTGCTTGCCATTTGTAGATAGAAGGAAATAACTCAGAAAACATGATTGAGAGAACATTAAGGATTGGTTTTGTTTATTTGTTGATTGTTTCTGATATGAAGTTGGAAAAAAATATTAGTAATGCAATGACTGTATGTTACAGTATTTATAACACATATTTGGAAAATGGATATGTATATTCTCAAAACTGATCCTAGATAATGTTCATCCTAAGAAAAAAACATTTTTCTTTAAGTATGACATTTTTCTTCTTCCAGATTGCCTTGCACTCTGTGATTTTTGTAAACTTCCTGTATCACCTCACTCCCACAAACAAGTTTCCCTGGGTGGGACAACGAGACACTGTGCAGTAGACTCAGTCTTATGATTCTGAGTACTGAC